CATCCTGTAGCACATGTCCATACTCAAAATGGATTGGCTGAATCATTCATTAAACGCATTCAATAGATAGCCCGACCATTACTCATGAGATCAAAGCTCCCGGCCTCAGCATGGGGAAGTGCAGTATTACATGCTGCTGAACTCATACGCATCCGGCCATCTAGTGAACACAAATATTCCCCATCCCAACTACTCTCGGGTCATGAGCCAGACATCTCCCATCTCAAAACATTTGGGTGTTCAGTATATGTACCCATTGCTCCACCACATCGAACCAAAATGGGACCTCAAAGAAGGATGGGAATATATGTTGGTTTTGACTCTCCCACCATCATAAGATATCTCGAGCCAACCACTGGAGATCTCTTCAAGGCCAGATATGCGGATTGCCAATTCGATGAATCGGTATATCCCTCTTTAGGTGGTGAGACAAACAAGCTGGTCAAAGATCTTTCATGGAATCAAACATCATTAAATTGGCAAGATCCTCGGACTCTAGAATGTGATTCAGAGATCCAAAAGATTATTCATTATCAAAAGCTAGCTAATCAATTGCCAGATTCCTTTGCTGACCCGACCAAAGTAACCAAATCGTACATCCCAGCTTGTAATGCACCAGTACGAATAGCTGTCCCAACGGGACAGACCCAAGTTGCTACAGAGTCTGCACCACGTCTCAAACGGGGCAGACCTCTCGGTTCCAAAGATAAGAATCCCCGGAAATCAAAGAAAGGTGCAATAACCGAAACCGGGATTCCTGCAATATCAGACATAGCCGCGGCTGAGACTCAATCTAATGAACCCTCAATGGAAGTTCGGGACGCCGAATCTCCAGGTTCAGAAGATAACAATGAGATCTCCATCAATTACAATATGTCCGGAATACAATGGAATCGAAAAGAAGTCGACTTAAATGCACTATTTGCATACAAAGTAGCACTTGATGTTGCGCTCACGCAAGAGGATCTAGAACCCACGTCAATAACACAGTGTACACATCGAACAGATTGGCTAAAATGGAAAGAAGCCATAAACGTGGAGTTAAAGAGTCTCAAACTCAGAAACGTGTTCGGTCCGATCATCCGGACCCCATCACACATCAAGCCAGTGGGCCACAAATGGGTCTTTGTGCGCAAAAGGAACGAACTCGGTGAAGTCGTTCGATACAAAGCACGGCTTGTAGCACAAGGATTCTCACAGAGACCCGGAATCGATTATGAGGAGACTTATTCTCCAGTAGTGGATGCAACAACATTCCGATTCCTCATAAGTTTGGCCATAAGAGAAAATCTTGATCTGCGGTTAATGGATGTTGTAACCGCATATCTCTATGGGCCCCTGGACAACGAAATATATATGAGACTCCCAGATGGCATTGAACTAAAAGACAAAAATGCATCTCGAGATCAATACTGCATCAGGCTGAACAAATCCTTGTATGGACTGAAACAAAGTGGGCGTATGTGGTACAACCGCCTCAGCGATTACCTCATAAAAGAAGGCTACAAAAATGACCCCATCAGTCCATGCATCTTCATCAAGAAGTACTCAAACAAAAG